CAACTGCTGGGCTGTCGGGAGTTGTGTGAACTCCTCGGTAGATGTGAAAATCTATAAACGTAAAGTTAGTAAGACTTCAAACAAGTGCAGGTAGACACCAGGGTCTCATCACCCAGAGTCGCTGTCTCATGTTTTGCAGTGGTGTGCTTGGGTGTTGGGTGCCTTGTGTCCGAGTGGTGAAGTCCCAGGTGCTGACAGCTGCTAGCCAGGGTGAGGGTCTCACCAGTGGCTCAGGGTATCCCTCCCCGTCTGTAGCCTGTCCACATGTGCAGCAGTGACAGATGATGTTGACATGCCATGTGGAGGTGGTAGCGAGGCTGGCGAGACGTCCTGTGCTAATGTTGGGGTTACGGAGGTCCTGCGGCGGCCCAGCCTGCGGGACTGTGGTGGAATTGGGGAGGGCAGTCTCTCTGGGTGGCCTTGAGGTGGGGCAGGCCTGCATGCGTCCTGAGGCTGGCTTTGGGCAGATGCGGACAGCTAAGGGGATAGGGTCACACCCAAGTCCCCCAGGGATGTGGGTCCAGGGACATGGCTGGTGGCTGGGAGCTGTGTGTGCATTCCGGTCCTTGGGTCCCTCCTGTGGGGAGTTAGGGCACAATAGGGCTGGGTCTTACCAGCATCCTGAGCCCTGGGGCCCTGGGGCCCTGGGGTGTTGTGCAGGGGAAGCTTGGCGTCCAGGGCAAAGTGGAAGTGGTTTATCTGGGGTGGCTGGGTGTGAGGGGCACAGCCAGGCAACAGTAAGAAGCTGGAGTCTGGCTCTTGCCAGCCTGGGGTGGGAAAGGGAAATGAGGGCGCCGGTGGTTCCCAAGCTGGAGGCGGACACTGCCTCCTTTGTGTGCCCAGAGCCATTCAGCGCCTTCACAGGCCGCGCGCTCGCGCCCAGGGCTGCTGGACTCTGTCCCGCTTGCACTGCGGGCTGGGAGCCTGGGGTGCCGGGAGTGCCTCCTCTTGGCCCTACCCCACAGGTGCCGCCCTCCGCAGGCCTTTCTGTGCAGCTAGCTCTACAAGACATGTAGTTATGGGGTCCTCGGCGTGTGCCCCCAAATAGCTGCGGCTGAGGTGTTCAAGCGTCCGCTTCCAGGTGGAGGTATGGGGCCAGGCTGGGGCGTGTGGGGCACACTGTGTGAGGGATGGTGGCCGTGCCGGTGCACGTGCTGCCCAGGCAGGGTCTGATGAGGGATAGCAGGGGCTGCCGGGAGCAGCAGGGCCCGGAAGCTGTGTGGGTGGGGGCTGGGCCCCACTGAGGAGCTGTGGAGTGGGGCTCAGTGTCCTGGAGTGACAGGGCAGGGAGAAGGCTGGCGGTGGGGTGCCCTTGCGAGAGTGGCTGGGCCGAGGTTGGGGAGTCTGCTGCTCTGCGGAGGGGGTGGACCAGCCACTGGGCACTGGGTGTCGGGCTGCCGGGGATGGGTCACAGGGCTGCAGCATCAGGACAGCAGGCGCTGTGGCACCTGGCAGGACAGTGTGGGGAGGACAGCTCTTGCTCTGGAGTCACACAGCGGATCCAAGACCCTGTCTTGGGGTGCAGGCTGGGGCGCAGGCCATCCTGGCCTCTGCCTTGCTTCCCTGTGTGGAAGTTGGGGTTGCTGGGTGGCATAGTGTCCCTTTCTGATGTGTGCCTCTAGGGACCTGCGTAGGACCTTAGTGGACACGGTCAGGAAGAGGTCCTGAGCACAGGGTTATCCCAGCTCAAGTGGGACACAGCTTGGTCCAGATAGGGTGCTGGAATGGACTGGAGGGCACCCTCCCCAGGCCAGGAATGGAAGCACGACTAGGCTGGGTGCCTGGCCTGGTTTATTGGTGTGGGGTTCTGACCTCCCAGACTGCAGTGTAGACATTTGTGCTGCTACAGAATCCAGGCGTTGCCACCAGAGAGTGGAGAGTGGCCTTCTAGGACCCTCGTATAGAGAGCCCTCCCGGTCTTGCCAAGGCCCAAGAAGTTTATATTTGTAATCCCGTGGAGAAGTTACAGGAATCCTAGTGAGTAATTCCAGTCTACCACTTTAGTGCCACCCATGGCAAGAAAGGACAAAGACGCTGAGGTATTTGTAGGTGTGGGGAGCCAAGGGGTCCTAAGTCCAGCTGGGAGGTGGCTGACCAGAACAGAGGCCTCGACCCGGGGCCGGACCTACGTTTTATTCATTTGTGAAGGAGAGAGAGGCTCGGGGCTGAGTGACTGAGTGACTGAGAATAACGGGAAGTAGGTGAGTGCGTGAGCGGGGGCCCCCCCGGGTCGGAAGCCTGAGGCCACCTCTGCAGTGTGCAGAGAGAGGGACGTGCGGAGTGACCTGTGTGGCACAGCTGCAGTGGCATCTAATGTTTTGCGTCGGTGCTTTAGCTCCGGCGTGTAATGCTCTGTGCCCTAGGGAGTCAGCCTCTGCCCCGAGGCTCCGTCCTGGCCAGTCCCAGCTGGCCCCAGGCCATCCCAGCCGGCAGTGTGGAGCACAGCTCTCCGTCCTGCCCGGCCCACGTGTTTTTTGGGGGTTGTGGGGTGGGGCAGCACTGCCCAGTCACCCTATTTCAAAGGCCACACACCGGCACCTCAGCTAGACCAGTTGCACTGCCAAGGCCAGTTGAAGGGATGAGCAAAGCCGGAGCCAGCTCTGTACCTGTCAGTACACAGAATTAGGGCCGGGCTGCACCAAAATGCAGACAAGTGCTCCTCTTTCAAGGAGTCATCTCAGTGGTGCTCCACACCCCTGCTCCTGGGTTGCCTGTTGGCACGCCTGCCTGGGGCGCGGGGAGCAGGGCGCGGGAGCACCCTGGGGATCTGAGGCCTATAGGTGGCCAGCGAGCGTTCAGTGGGCACCAGGCGACACTGGGTGCCTTTGTCCATCTCCCAGTGCAGTGGCCTCCTTAGCTGCTCAAACTTCAGAGAGGAGGTGGGGCCAGCTCAGGGAACTCAGAACAGCAGGGGAGGAGAGCTCAGCATGGAGCCGGAGCCGCTGGAAGCCAGGCAGGGGCACTTGGGAGGGAGCCACGGTATACTGCTCTGCCTGTGTTGGGGCTCCGCCCAGGTGTCCCTCTCCACGGGGATGTGCAGGGCCTTCTTTCTGGGGCTGCTCTCGAGGGGGAAGGGTCGCCGAGGCAGAGTCTCCAAAAGCACAGGAAGGTTTTCCGTAGTGCTAGGATTTATGTGGCTGTTCTTTTGCTGCTGTTTTACCGAGCTGCAAGCAGGGGTGGTACATGGGCTGGCTGGGAGGGACTGTGGAGTGGGTGTTTAGTGAGCGCAGTTTCAGCTTTACCGGATGAATCGTTCTGGGCTGCATCCACAGTGTTTTGAACAGCACCTTTTACAAGGAGCAGGTTGGAAAGTCTCCTGTGTATCTTACTGTAATAAAATGATTTCTTCCAAAGAGCAACAGGAATGCGTATGGCCAGCTCTAGAGAGAGAACCACCCCGAGCTGGCGTTGGCATGTAGCACCCTGCATACCCCGTGTCTCCTCCTCACCCCTTAGCATAATGTGACGCAGGGAGGTCACATTCCAAGTTGGTACTCTGCAGGAGGCCACAGTGGATGGCACAGTGGCCCTGTGTGTCAGGGTCTGAGGTGGTCGTGGTGGCACGGTGCTGTCTTCCCTGGCTCCTGAGGAACATTTCTGGGCAGAGAGGGGCTGTGTGTTGGGCTTGGGCCTAGACTGGCACCTCAGGGCACAGCCCCTGATCAGGACACCCATGCTTGTCCTCCGCACACCCAGCCCCGTGAGTGCTGACTCCCCGTGGGCAGCGCTGGGGGCTCACGCGGGAGTTAGGAGGTGGGCTTGTAACTTCCCCCGATTTATTCAAGCTGTCTCATAGCCAAGCTACAATACTCATCTGCACATACCTCACTACTCACACTTCCTGTTGCATACCTGATTTTTCTTTCACTTCTTGTTTTGAGACAGGATTTCACTACGTCACTGGGTTGTCCACACTGAACTCAAATTTTGCCATCCTTCTGTCTCAGCCTCCCAGAGTGCCGGAATGACATGCGTGTGCTACCCGACCTCGCTTTACTTTTTACTAAGAAGTTTCCAGTTGTTTGTTAGACTTCTTTACTCTGTGAATTCATTTCTCAGTGTTTTTCTTGGCTTGAAACAGAGTCTCGCTATGCAGTTCAGGCTGGTCTTGAACTTCTTATGTCGCCCGGGTTGGCCCAGAAATTCACAGTCATCCTCCTGCTTCAGCCTCCAGAGTGCCGGGATCACAAGTGCAAGCTCCACACCTGGCCCGGTCTCTTCACATCAGTCACTGTCCCCTCCCTAGGGCTTGCTGAGTAGCAGGTTCTCTTTTCTTCCTGCTGGTTTGATTTTCAGTTTACTGTTCCATCTGGAGTTCACAGTTGCTGAATGCGATATGGTGATTGGTCCCCCTCCCTTGCCCTGTGCACTGCTAGCACCCCTGGGCTCCCACTGGCTCCAGGAGACACTGGCCACCAGAACCACCCATGTGGGCTCCCTGTCCTGGGGGTCCAGGTCAGAGCCTGGGCCAGGAGCATCTGGGGCCCTCCCTGAAAGCTCCCTGCTGTGCTGCCTAAGACTCAGATGGGCTTGCATGCCTGCTGGCCGAGGCCTGAGGTCCCACCAAGTGTCATCCTGAGTGACAGCGCTGTCCTTAGTGGGCAGGTGGTTGGGCTGGCCCACGGACACCTCCTGCAGCCGTGGAGCAGCCTGTGGGCCTGGTGCTGCGGCCCCCAGCAGGAAGCTGAAGGTCCCCTCCCCTGTCCTCTCCTCCTCTCACAGAAGCAGTCCTGCGGCTTCCTGGGTCCAGGCCATGGTCAGATCCCACCTGGCATGTGTGGTCTCGGCTTCCTAGACCGCCTCTGCCTTGTCAGGATGGCTCCTGCTTTGCAGGTGGAAAACCTGGCAGGCAGCCTCCTGTGTGTTGGGATGACATGCCCCAGGACCTGGGGCCTTGTGGCCCTGGGGAGCCAGGTTGGTGGGAAGGGCCACACCCTGGGATGAGGCGCTGGATAAGGAGAGGAGCCCGCTGTCCTGGCTGTCCTGGTGTCACCAGGGTGTGTAAATCCCTTGGTACACACAGGTGTACATTTGCACTAGTGGAGGAGGCAGCCCGGGGTCTGAGGTCCTGCCCTGGCCCGGGAGGGGCTTTACAAAAAGGGCGGGGCCTGATCTCCGAATCTCAGGCTCAGCTGGGCTGGACCCTGGACCCGGGCGGCGCCCTGGCTGTGTACAGCTGCACTTCCGCTGTGCTGGTGACTCGCTCTTTGGAGGGTGGTCAGCCTCCAACCCCGCTCCTCAGCATGTTCTCCCGGACCCTTGGCCTGAGTCACCGTGGTGAGCCAGGGTGGCCTGCTGCGGGCCTGGGTGTGCTCCTGCCCTGCTGGGGCCTGGGAGAGCCTGCTCTGGCTGAGGTTGAGGAGGCCAGGCTGGCGGGGTGGGGTGATGGACAGTGGCCCTGCCTGGTGACCAAAGGTGAGGTCTGCGGCCACTCTCTGCTGGCAGGAGCTTGGGGGCAGGAGTAACCATGCCCCACCTCTCCCAGGGAGCCCGCCCGTCATGTCCAGGTGAGGCCCAGGAGCTCCGTGCTGAACATGCTCAGGAGGCTGGACAGAATCAGGTTCAGAGGCCCCAAGAGAGAGGACTGCCTGGACCTCGCGGAGTCGCCCAATGCCTCGGACACCGAGTGTGCGGACGAGCTGCCCCTGAAGATCCCTCGGACCTCGGCCCGAGACAGCGAGGAGCTCAGGGACCCTGTGAGTATGTGGACCCGGAGCTCCTTCACCATGCCTGGCATGTGCTGGGCCTTATGGCTGAGTCCAGTGTGGTTGCGGGCAGATTGCCATCCCCCGGGCTGGCCTGGCACCCCTCTCCCCCTTGCCCCCGCTGCTTGCCTGCCCCCCACCCCCTCCAGATGCCTCTCAACCCCCTCTGGCAAGCTTCTCGAGTGGAAGTGTGGCCAAGACCCTGGCCCAACCCTGGGAGCACACTGCCAGGCCGGGCCTGTGTGTCTGACCTGCCAGGTGTCTGTCACTGATGTCCCTGACCCCTGCCGGCTAGCTGGGCACCAGGCATTCGTGGAGCACCTCAGCTGGGCTGTGCCAGGGGCGGGCATGGACGGTGTGTGCCCGCCTTCTGGAAGCTGCTTTGTAGGGCTCGGAGGAGCAGAGTAGGCGGGAAGGACACTATGTGCCCCTCTTCCCAGTGACTGTGGCTCCTCCTCCTCCTCCTGCTCCTCCTCCTCCTCGATGCTCAGAACCACCCAGCATGGCTGTGGGTGTCCCCCACCGTGTGCCCCGCCCCCGTTGCCCCGCCCCTCGTTGCCCCGCCCCCGTTGCCCCGCCCCCGTTGCCCCGCCCCTCGTTGCCCCGCCCCTCGTTGCCCCGTGGGGTTTCTTCCTGCCCCGGCCAGGATTTCACCCCAGATGTGGCTGGCGCATTGCTCCTTTCCCTCACTGCTGCATTATTAATGCTCCGTAATAGGGCTGAGTGTGCGCCGCTCCTGGCAGGAATTAATAATTCATGGCGCTGCCCCTAACAGCCTCTGGTGCTCGGTTGGATGTGGGTGAGGCCACCCAGCTTCTTGCGCCAAGCCTGCCTTGAGATTGGGTGCTGTCCCCTGTGTTCAGAGGCCATGGCTGTTCCCGCAGCCCTGACCTGTGTGGCCCTGAGCAGGCACTGTCCAGGGTGGCAGTGCCCATGCCCACACCTGGCTGTCTTGTTTGCCGCGTGGCCACTCCTTGCCCTGTGGGGTGTCCTGGCTGGCCAGGTGAGTGAGTGTGGTGGCCCTTCAAGCTCTCCTGTTCTCTGGCCCTGAGGAATTTGTCCTGCCCAGACCGATGTCTTGGGAGTTGGGTGGTACTGTCCAACCTGGTTTCTTCTGCCCCCCAAAAATGCCCACCAGCTGCAGACTCTGCAGAACCAGGGCCCCAGAACTGGCCCTGGTTGGGCTTGTGACCTACCTACCTTGCTTCTAGAGGGATATGCATAGTACCAGGGTGTCTATGCCACCCCATGGCCTGGGCAACTCCTTTCTGGGGCCATTGTTCCCACCTGACAGATGGGAAAACTGAGGCTGTGGGTGGTGTTTACAGCTGGGTGTGCTACCAGCCAGGGCAGAGCCAGGCTGGCCCGAGGCATGGGTTCCAGAGCTCAGGGTGGCTGTTCCTCTCCCTTCCTCTCCCCAGTGCCCAGTCCTCCCCTAACCATCTTCTGTCTCCTGACTGTGGTGGGCACTGTTTTGATGTGGGCACAGAGATATTTCTGTGGACACAGAGCTGTTTCAAGGGTGGGTCACTGTCTTGTCCTCCCTGGGAGGGCGCCCGTGGTGAAGGCCTGGGCTTAGAATAGGGGCAGCTTCTGCCCTCACTTGCTTCCCTCTCTGGGGCTGGGTGTAGCTACGTGGGGCCTTCGAGGGTGGAGGCCCTACCAGCCCACAGGCAGGAGCTGTGTTCCTTGCTTTGGACCCGAGCCCCGATGACACAGGCCCAGGCCACTGACTCCTGGGGTCCCCAGCCCTGCTTTGTCCCTAGAAGAGGGGGCCCTCCTCCTCCAGCTCCACCTGCGGGGCTCCTAGGGCCCTGCCTCAGGCAGGCAGTGGCTGGCAGACCCGGTGTGTGCCCTCCCATTCTGCACAAGGTGTCTTCTGTGTATGGTGAGGCCTGACGCTCTCCTAACACCTGGACACTTCCCCAGCAGGGCAGGGTAGGGCGGGGCCTGATAATCTTGTGTGGCCCATGCCCACTCCGGGGCTGTGCTCAGACTGCCCACCTAAGTCACCTGCAAGGGCTCTGTGCAGATGGTGAGCCCAGCTGTGGCCCTCGGGCTGTGCACCTGTAGCTTTCCAAACCAAGAAGAGCAGGCAAGGAGCCAAGGGCGTGTTCCCTGGAAGGCAGGCTCACGGGGGGCAGGCTGAAGTGGAGGGTAGCAGGAGCGAGCCTCTTCCTGGTGGGGAGGGAAGCCGCGAGCTGCCTGCACTGTGAGATCAGTTTCCATTCAACATTGATGACCTCCTTCTCCAGATAGCCTTCCACGCCGGGGACAGGGCGGCCCCGTGTGACTTGCCTGCACAGGGGAGGGGAGACGTCTCCAGGAGGCCCCGGGGAAGGGCTGCCACCTGCTCGGGATGGAGTGGGTCACCCGGCAGGAGGCCTGGAGCTCCCAGGGGTGCACCAAGCACCCATCCTCAGCCCTTTTAAAAAACTTTTAGTTTTGAGAGAGGATCACTCTAGGTTACTGAGTCGCTCACCTTTAATCTGTCAGGCACCTGCGGTTCTGCGGCCCACCCTGCGTGTGGGTGGGGGCCGTGGCTCCTGCTGCCCGCACGGGTCGCAGCAGCCTTTGCCAGGCACTCCAAGCACGTCGGGGCTGGCTGTGTTGGGGCTGCCTGTGGACCTGTGTTTGGATGCCAATGTCGGCCGGGTGGGCCCAGGTGACACCATCTGGCATGACCCCTGCCTCCAGAGCCGCCTTCAGGTCAGGTTGGGTTTACACGTCCCCTTCCTGGCCTTGTTGAGCTTTGGTTCTTGGGACAGTGGACAGGCAGTAGGGTACCAGGGCACACCAGGCTCTCACCACCCAGGCTATGCCTGCCTCCCAGAGCCGGTGCCTGGTGGTCCTCCCTGGTCAGCATCAGTGCAGGGAATGACCCCTGCAGTACCCAGGGGAGATGAGGTCACCTGTTTTCAGCTCACCCCATCGCATTTCTCTGTTGCTGGTGCCAGGCTCCTAGGAGGCAGCAGATAACAGGGCCTGGTCCCTGTCCCCTGGAAGCCGTGTCCTCTAGCCAGGGAAGCTGACAGTGCAGAAGGGCAGGTCCCCAGGGCTGTGCCTAGAGCTGCTGGTTCCCATCAGCCCCTTCTCCAGGCCGGGACCTCTGAGCAGCTGACAGTGTCGGGGAGGTGACAGTGTCAGGAGCATGCACTGTGCGGCTCACAGCCAAGCAGCCTCAGCGTGGATCCCATTTCACCACCCCTAGCCCTGGAGGAGGAGGTCTGGGGCCCAGGCAGGGAGGTCAGTCAGGTCCCGGCCCCGGCAGGGACTCCTGTGCAGTAGCTGTGGAGGTGCCCCTGTGGCGTCTTGTATGGTCCCGAAGGCCTCTCTCTTTCTCCTCGGTCAGCAGGTTGTGGAGTAGCTGCTGTGCCCGCTCCCTGGGCATGTGGCCTGTAACTGGAGCCTTTGGGGAAAGGACAGTGTCTTAATAAGGGGACAGGAGGTGGCTGTCTCTAATTCCCCTCTCTGTGCTTTGGGTGCCCGGGGGGCCATCTCCTTTCCTGTGTGCTCTGTGTGCTGTGGCTGCACCTTTGGCCCCAGGGTGGCTGTCACACTCTGGGCCTCAGCACCCTGGGCACACGGGTCGGCACACCTGCCCGCTTCCTCCCTTCTATAGCTGAGATTGCTGCTGCAAAGGCCCTGCTGGCCCTGCGCGCTCACGTAGGAGCTTAATTTCCCCCGTGCTTTCTTCCTGGGGACCTCCCCCTGGCGCCCAGGGCGTCCTCCCACCCCGAGGTCCTCAGTGGGCTGCTGGGAGGCTTACGGCAGACCTGTGTCCTTTTCCTTCCAGCAATTCAGCCCGAACTTGGGGTCGTCATGCTGACCTGCCATCCCGGCGTTGGACACTAGATCCTCCTGGCAGGGACCCAGGCAGCTTCTCTGCGGCCACCTCTGAGCTCTCCATGTTTCCCTTCCAGGCTGGCCCAGGGACCCTCATCATGGCCACAGGCCCCCAGGACTTCAGCCGCACAGAGTTTGATCGGCTGAACGAGATCAAGGGTCACCTGGAAATCGCCTTACTGGAGAAGCACTTCCTGCGTGAGTACCAGGAAGCACCTCTGGGGACGGGACCTGCGGGAGTGGGGCTGGGGTGGGGACATGGCCCTGCCCACGTGGGCCCAGGAGCCTTTGCGTGGGATGTGGGACAGATGTGGGGCTGTGGGGCTCTTGGGGCGCAGAAGTCAGGCTTCCCATAGGCCTCAGCCTCCGCACCTGCCTCTCCCATCTGCTGCTCTCCAGGCCAGAGGAGGGCAGAAGGAATGAAGCCTGTCCCAGATTTGAGATTAGGTTAGCAGATCTGGCCTGGCACGTTCTCCGTGGTTAACTTGGAATTCTGAAGGTTTTTGAAGGAGTCAAAATTGTGTCTGTTCTCTGTGAATGTGAGGGGCACTGGGGCCTAGTCCAACAGCCCTGCCTGTGCTACCCTGGCCTGGGGCGGGGGGATGATGGCCCTGGGGGCCTGATGGGGTCCCTGTGTGTGTGACTCTCTCCTCTTCATGTCCTCTGTTTCGGTCACAGGAGAGACCTGCAGTTGGGTCACACCCTCTGGCTTGTAGGGGTGGTGCTGGGGAGCCTGCCCTCAGATGCTGTGAGGAAGGTGGTTCGGGAGGAGGTGGCCCTGGTCCTGTGTGCCAAGCAGGGAGCAGCGTTGGCCTGGGAAGGGACCATCGGGTCTCAAAACCCTCGGCCTGGGCCCCACAGGCAGGTCACTTCCCTGGTGGTATCCTGCACAGCTGGGGTCCCCTCGAAGCTCTGAGCCCACAGCTGTGGCCTGGGTTCTGTTCCTGGTCACACCTCTGCCTTCCTTCTTCCCGCCCAGGCAGCGCAGGCTCAGCAGTGTGCAGACTTGGCTTGGTGTGGGTGTGTTTTCCATTCGGCATTGTGCGGGGGGAATGGGAGTGTCCATCAGGGATCAGCTTCGGGGCTTCCAACCACCCTGCAGGTAGGGGGGGCCGCGCTGGCTCTCTTGCTGCCGCTCTAGGGCCAGGGTTGGTGCAGGGCTCGGGCTCGCCAGAGCAGACCAGAGGGTGGTGCCGAGGCCTGCGTGTCTCCTGGGATGGGTCTGGGCAAGGTGCAGAATAAGGCCTCTCTGGGATGACGGGGCCCTCAGGAGGACTGAGGGGCCGCCCTCCAAGGGGTGTGCTTGCTGGCATCCTGGAACCGCCACTCACCGCTAGGTCCTCAGTACCACCAGGGGACGTCTTGTCCTGTTCTCCAGTAGCTCTTGAAGCAGGGTGTGGAGTTCAGCCCAATGCCATGGGGCAGCAGTTATGGGCAGGGTTTTGTTTTTGTTTCCTGCAGTGCAGGAGGTCCCTACCGTGGAGTTCACATCCCTAGCCTTCGTATCCCTACGTTGCCCTGGCTGGACTCGAACCTGTGATCCTCTTGTCTCAGCCTCCTGGGTACTGGGATGATAGGTGACCCAGTAGTATTTTTAAATTATGGATTTTTAAAAACATTATTTATTTATTTAAAATTATTTATTTATTTGATATAGGGTCTTCCTATGCAGTTCAGACTATAGTGATCCTTCTGTCTCACCCCCCACCCCCCAGTGCTGGGTTTATAGGCATGTGTCACCACGCCTGGTTTCAGGCCAGCACGGCATGCCCAGAGGTCAAACTTGGGTCCTTGCACTTGCCAGGCAGGTGCTTAGACCGCCGAGCTAGCTCCCCAGCCCTGTGGGATATTTTGAACGTGCCCAGCCATCCAGCAAATTACCCCCAAGCTCTCTTTGTGACATAGTGACCGTTTCTACAGGAACTCACTTGGACCTGGCTGGCTTCCTCTTCCCCTCCTTCTCTGGGCATTTCTGGGGCACCAAAGCCCGCATCCTATTATTTCAACTGTGAATATTTTAGTAGGTAGCTGGGTGTATTTTATAGACAGAAGGATAAGTCACCCTCTGAATTGACCACCCTTCTGCTCCCCCTTTGAGGCAGAGATTTGGGTAGATGGGTGGGCTCTCCCTGAAGTCCGGACCTGGACAGTTGTCACTGATAGGTTTTTTTTTTCAGGTAATCAGCACAGCAGAGAAACAGGCAGGAGGAAAAGGGAAAGGGCCTTTATTTTCTTTAAGGACATGGAGAGAATTTGGGGAAGATAAGGAATTCTCTGGGTTGGAAGAAAGGGAGGCTGAGGCGTTTATGGCCTGCCGCCAGGGGTGGAGTTGAAAGGGGATGTTTAGATATTCCTGAGGGAGCTGACTGGGGGGCTTCTCTGAGGTGGCAGGAAGGGTGAAAGGAAATTGTACCATGGACTGAGTTGGAGGAGAGCGGGGAGGTGGTCTTGGGGACGGTGGGCTTTTGTTTTAAGGTCTTCAGCCATATTGGATGACCGCCATAATGCTTTTAGCAATTTATACTCGGGCCAGAACCCATCGTGTGTCCCTTAGACTGCTTGCTGCTGAACGGGGCATCATCTGGGGGCAAGAAGGGTTACGCCTGTGTAGAAGTTAGTGCCACGTGTCTCAGGGCTAGAAGTTTAGCACTAGTGATGAGTACACGTCGTCGCGATTAAAGGACACAGGAGGGGAAGCGAGAGGGGGGTCTGTGATCTGAATGTGTCATTGAGGAAAGGGAGACGGGGTCACCTGTAGGGCCACGACACAACGGCACTGAGGGGCCTCACCAGAGGTGTAGAATAAGGTGGAGGACTGAGAGGGCTACGGGTGGAAATAGTGATCGAAGGACCTCTGTGAACATCAGGTGGCTCTGCTGTGTGAAGAGTCATTAGGGCTGGAATTATCTTTCGTGTGATGAGCTCCCTAGGTGACAGGGTGAGTGGACTATGATAGATTGTCCTAAAGTGAACATTTTGTCTCGTGTATTAGTGTGGCAGCCGCTGTGAGTGTGTGGAGACAGGGAGTCTATCTGTAAGCTGTGTTGCCTAGTTGTTTAGAAAGGTGGGCTGCTGCCTGAAAGGATGGTCTCTTTTTGTGTCTTAAAATCCCCACTGTATTGTGACCCGTCGAGGTGGTGTATAGGCTAAAGGCTGAGTGGGGGTGGGGAGAGTGAGAGCCGGGCCCTTAGGAGGGCCTCTTGTAACTCGTGAGAGGAGGAATGCATAGGAGCAGCGGGGTCAAGGGGCTCCAACAGGGAACCCTCTGCTGCCCTGTAGAGAGGCTGTGCCAGAGAGGCGAAGTCGGGATCCCAGAGGCGGAAGAAGTTGGCTGAGCCAAGGAAGGAGAGAACTTGCTATTTTGTGGTGGGCGCCTGGAGGTCACGAAGGAGGGCTTTGTGGTCGGCTATGATCACACGAGTGGTGGGAGTGAGGGTGAGTCGTGGTGGGAGTGAGGGTGAGTTGTGGTGGGAGTGAGGGTGAGTCCCAGATATTTGACCTTCGGTGAGGCTATCTGAGCTTTGGAGGGCAAGACTCTGCAACCTTGTCCTGACAGAAAATTGAGAAGAATATCAGTGTGTTGCAGGGCTGGGCGTCAGAGGGAGAGCAAAGGAGCAGGTCGTCAGCGCATTGGAGGGGCAGGCTGGGCTTGAGGTCAAGGGTTTCGAGATCGGCAATGAGGGCTTGGTAAAAGAAGTGAGAGTCATCTCTGAACCCCTGCGGCAGGACTGTCCCCGTGAGCTGTGGAGATCAGAGAGTGTCTAGATCAGTCCATGTGAAGGCAAAGGGTCTTGGCAACGTGGGTGTAAGGGAATGGTGAAGAAGGCTTATGGGCTGGAGTCCCTTTTGACGTTTGGGGGGTATCGGGTATTGAGGAATGTAGGTAAATGCTGTGGGATCTCTGAGGCACACCAGTCTAGGAACGGCATGTGCGCACGAGTGGGCCTGGAAGTATCTCAGAGTGCGAGGTTGACAAGGGAAGAGGGAGGGAGGAGCTGGCTGTGTATAGAGATTGGGTTTGTAGGATGTATGCTGGGGGAGGAGAGAGGTGAGAGAAAAGTGGAGCTTTTGGAGGTCTCTCCCCATGAGAAGTATGGGACAGGTTGGGATCACAAGAAAATTATGAGTGAAGAACTGTGTTTGGAGTCAGCAAGGACTAGGCCTGTCTGAAAGGGGTCATGTAGATAAGCCATCCACACCCACTATGGAGACTGTAGAGCTAATATAGTGATTTTAGAACTCAGGAAGAAGGTTATATATGGTCTCCATGTCAGCAAGAAGAGTTTTTACCTGCTATGTCCAGTGAGACTCAGGACTCTGATGAAGGTACCCCACTGTGGGCCGTGGACCCCAAGCTCTGTTGTTACTCTTCAGCGGCAAGACCAGGCAGGCCACGTATTGATGGATCTGGCTGTAGTGAGTTTTCCTGTGAGGGCAGGAAGTTGGATGGCTTATCCACTCTCTGGTGACTAGAACAGTTGCACCTCCAGTGACCCTCGAGCTTGTAGATGTCCTAGTGATGGCTGTAGGTTGGGAGAGGCTCATGCCCAGGTGACCTTTGCCATACATGAAGCCATCCAGGAAGGGCTCGGGTGGCAGGGTTGTTTAGGCTCAGCATTACCTTGTCAAGGTCCTGCTTTGATGGGAGTCTTGAGTGTCACAGCCAGAAGTTGGCACTGTGTATAGTTAATTTTGGTCTCTATTATTGAAGACACAGAAAGTTAGATTAAGTAAGTTTTCTTGTGGGGTTTGAGGGCTGAGATTTGTGTTTTAAGCTTGGAATGAGTGTCAGGAACAGATAGGGATATAAAATAGGAATTAATAACGTGTGTGTGTGTGTTTAGAATCTGAGTCTACATTAGTGTACTTAGTTTGGAGAAATACACGAAATTAGAATTTTATCTGAGTATCAAGTACCTTGAAATATAAGTGTAACCAGAGAACTGTTTTTGTTGTTGTTGTTGTTGTTGTTGTTTTTTTATCAACCATGGGCATTTTAGCAGTTAAACCCCTGCAGAATGTTAACAGACAACAGTTACGTACTTTCGCAAAGAATATTTGACATCAGTAGCTAAACCTAGTAGTGCAGCATAGCAGTTGTAGCCGATCATGAAATCTCCGTCTTGTTTGGGCATCTCTAAATGTAACGGCACATGCAGGATACATGTCACTTACGTGTTAGCTGGAAAATTATCATT